GGGATATGACAACTGAATGCCAGTTTATAAAACATACACACATTTTATTTCTTTCCTCCTCTAACAATGTCCTACAATATGCTTTTTATATAGGTCTGAGATTATGAATCTTCAGCGTAGTATTTCTAAATACCAACATAACCAATAAAACCGTGAGAGCTTATAGTCCTGGCAGGTTGTATATTTTTACCTACAATAAATAACCTTTTCCCTAGGTATATTTGCCATTATGTCTCTTAAAGTAAGTAAAAAGTTCAGTTAGTAACCTGAAAACAAAGAACGTAACTGTCAAAAAAAATTCCTGTCAAAACTGTCAAAAAACAGAAGTACTCTTAAAATTCCACCATGTTCACAATACCTCTTTCTTTGCCAACTTATGTAAGATATTAACTGAAATATTGCAACAGTCATAACGATGCCCAAATAAATAATTTTAACGCTTTCATTACGGGGACTATAAAGAGCTCTTTTCTCCAATATCAACCCCCAGGGGGAGATTTTTAGCGGGGTTTTAAAAGTAATTTTAAATTGACACAGGCCAAATCCAATATTTCATTTTAATTGTTTTAAATTGGGGTATTTTTGTATTTGTCTTTTATCAGGCTGTCAGCCGCCCTGAGTCCGTAAGGAGAAGGGCGGGGTACAAATTCAATTAATAATAATAATAATAATAAAAAATGGAAAACGGCAAGCCACCTCCGAACGATTTTAAGTGACTGGTCTAAGCTCTCATCTTGCCGAGGCTGAACAACAGCCCTCGAGTCTACACTGTCATTCAAATAAGACACTAGCAGCAGCTTGAAGACAACACGCCCCAGCAGCCTCCACCAGGGAACAGATTTTACGGGGCCCATCAGATATTAGTAGCCCCCCCCCCCAAAGCAGCGAGAGATCGACGGGTAGAAGGGCCGCCGCAGAAATGACGTTCTGAAGTTTCCACTGCTTAAAATACAGGAGCGGCAACGAAAAGGCTCTCCACTTTTTGCATTTCTTCACCAATCACAACGGAGAATCTCCCGCCAACGAACGGATGACGGCGGATTACAAAAGTCCACTCCTCCATTTAATCCTTACCTGCAGCTTAATCGGCGATGGCCGCCCGGAAAGAGCTTGCTCCTACTTCCGCCGGTTCTAGTGAGCGTTCCTCGAGGTCTCGCGAGAATTGCCTCATCTCTGAGAACGTTTGAATAGAAAGATGTGGGTCGGCGCCACCTTGCGTCCATATGCAAAGAAGTAATAGCAAGTGGTGCTGGGCGTCTCAATTCCTGTATTATCAACGCATTTTCCCCACCTTTTTGAATCAGGCTCAGATCACATTCGCCCGTTCGTTCTTTCTCTTTCCATTCGCAAAAGCCGCGTCCTACTTATTCATTCAAGTTAAGGCAGGGGTAGGCAACCTTGGCTCTTTTATGACTGATGGACTTCAACTCCCAGAATTCCTGAGCCAGCATAGCTGGCTCAGGAATTCTGGGAGTTGAAGTCCATCAGTCATAAAAGAGCCAAGGTTGCCTATCCCCGAGTTAAGGTTTTCACTCATTCCATTGTTCCGTCGCCCATTTCTTTTGACTGTCCCCTCGTTTGAACGTCCCCCATATATAGGACGCAAAGTTTCAGAAAAAATTCTCATTGGAGGGGGTGTGTGTGCGCGCGCGCGCGCTTTGTTTTGTTTTAGTGGTGGTGAAATGGAAAAGACCGCAAAAGTAAAGAAACAGCAACGACCCCTCTCAAATTGCAAGGCATTTTTAAGTGATGCTGTGCGTTTGAATTGGATCGTATTTACTATGCATGCTTTCCTCTTTGGGAGCGAGAAAAGTTTGAACTGGATCCAAGGAGGCAAGCGTGCAGTGAAGGGACTGTACAAATAATGCATGATTACTATAATACAGACTTGGCATGAGTTCTTGCCTAATTCCTAGGAAAAGCTCCCCTGCATTTTCATACAGATTTTAACCAAGAATGAAAACGGAGATGATTGACAGAGACTAGGATACATGAGACTAGGAATGTTCATTGATAATTCCCCGACTAATGTAAAGGCATCATACATTGAACAAATTAACTTCTCTTAAAAGTGGTACTTAAAAACACAACATGTAACTAACGTTTTCCTGCAGAATTAGCATTGAAATACATGTTGTTCTCCCAATATAGGGAAATCTAAAACTCACTGCTACTCTAATAGACATGTTATTTGACTCAATCACACTACTGCATGAGTTCAAAAACAAAATAAAGGAAATTTAGCAAAAAAGAGATCTCAATGGGTCTTCTTAATATTAGGTGTTCTATTTTTTTTTACTTAAGCCAATATTCTGTTGATTTAGCATTATCTTGCATTTATCTTTTTTTCTTAATGATAAAAAACAAAATCTGAAGCAAAACAACAATGCGACAGACAAAACCTTCCACCTCAAAAAGATTCATCTTCATTTCCACAGGAGAAAAGCGTAGGCAATCAGAAATGACTATGTGTACATTATTTTCATGTTTTTACAAATGGAAAAAATGTATAAAATCCATGCAAATAGTACAAAATCCATCAGAACAAAAATAATTTCTTAAGGAAAAATTGTGGGAATTTCTAAATGTTTTACAGAAAATTCAAGAAAGAAAAGATAAAAAAATCAGTAAGAATTTCAAGATAAGAAAAATACATTTTCTATACCTGCAACAAAGTAAAAATAGACATGTTGGGCAAATTGGAGGAGCATGCATTTCTACAAGTTTGTCCCACTGAAGTAATGGGATTTACTTCCAAAACAAAGAACCATAGAACAATAGATAAAGGATTTCTGGCCCAAAGCAGTTTAATCAGAGCATATTGATTTGATACTTTCAAATTTTAAAAGGTCACCCTTAAAAGATCACACATATTATTCTGACAGGAAATAATGACTGTTTCCAAACTGTAGTATCAGTAATCTTACTGTTTCTTTTTAAGGGTACAGAAAAGCTAAAGAATACATCATTTGCATCCATCTTAGGTGATTATAAAATGTAAAAAGCATTCCCAAATTATGAGTCATGCTGTATATCAAAAGATTTGTAGTTATGAAAATTGGTGGGTTCTATTGAAAGTCCCTATAAACCAATGCCAACATCATATAAAAATTATTAACATGCACAATATTTGCCTTATCATTTTGTCTTCCTACTCCCTGCAGAATGGAATAAAAAATTATTTTATACTCAGAACAGATACAGAAGAAAATGTTCACGTACAAAATGTGTTTCTTTTATACAGTGTGGTACCTATCTCTTAAGAATCAGCAAAGTAGAAATTTCTTGGAAATTAACATTTCAAAGATGAGCATCTTATTGTGCAATGACTTGACTTCCAAAAGATAAAGACAACTTCCTGTATTTTCAGTATTTATGGAAGACATTCCTCTATTTTAACATGATGCTCTTCTAACCTATTGGAGTATTGACCAATTGGAGTGTTGTCTTCATCACTTTTCTTTTAGATTAAAAATGTTGACCTAGGCAGCTGAATGATCTGTATTTCAAAAAGTAAAAGAGAAATCTCACAAATACAAAAACATATAATCTGCCTTGTTTACAAATGAGACTTATATATACTCCTTATTTTTTCTAATTGTTTCTATTTTTTTAGGCCACTTCTATTATTGATTAAATATTGTTGGAAATAAGTACAAATATTTCAACCTTCCAGAAGAATAAAAGTATTACTATCATCTTTCTGCTAACTGCTAGAGAATCAAATCCTGGGAAGATTAAACCTTTTAAACCAGAGGTCTCCAACCTTTTTGATTTGGCAGCCCGGAAAGGGAGGCAGGCACCGCTACATGTGCACTAGCAAATGGCTAGCGCTGGAGGGACGCTATGGGCAACACTAGTGCTGGTGGGATACTCTGGGGCGGAGCGGCGCTAGCGCCGGCGGGATGCTTGGGGCGGCGCTAGTACGGGTGGGATACTTGAGGGCAGGGCGATGCTAGCGCTGGTAGGATGCACAGGGCAGCGCTAGCGCCGGTGGGACACTCGGGAGTGGGGCGGGACGGCGCTAGCTCCAGTGGGATGCTCGGGGTGGCACTAGCGCCAGTAGGAAGCTTGGGGGTGGGGCGGCACTAGCGCTGGCGGAATGCTCAGGGCGGCGCTAGCGCGAGTGTGTAGAGGTGAGTGCATGCACAGGTTGCGGACCCGTTTTAAACGATCACCCAGGAAAAGTTTCTCAGCTGCCAAAAAGATAACAAGTTCACAGGTTCTTGGTTTCTATTCAACTGGAAAATACATAATGCAAAAAGATCAATACACTGTTCTGAACACCTGGGTTATTTTTTTTTAAACAAAATGAAATATTGTTTAAATATTGAAATCAATATTATTGTTCAGTAAAAACAGTACAGGTAGTCCTTAAGTTACGATCATAATGGAGCCTGGTCATCACAGTCATAAATCGTGAGTCGTAAAACAAATGCTGTGGTCATAAAGCAGCCACTACGGTCATTAAGAAAACACCATGGTCATTAAGCAAACCAGTGGTTCACTATCAATGCAGTTTTGCCAAAAATTGAAAATAACTTCCAGTTTTTGCCCCAAGTCATCATAAATGCAGTCATGTGACTATGGATGCCACAAATTGCTGCAAATGTGGCCGTGTCAACAAGTGCCCAAAGTTTGGTCACCTGAGTGCAGGGGGGGGGACCCTATCATTGGAACTTTGAATATGGGTCATAAGTAGCCCCAAAGTAGATGTGTTGTAACTCCAAACAATTGCTAAATGACTGGCTGTATGTTGAGGACTACTTGTGCTGTATGATTGTCGAGTTCTGTAATTCTTGGATAAAATCTGAGTTACATAACTAAAAATCTTGATCCGAAGTCACCTTTTGAGATTTCAAAACATAATTATACCAATTAGATCTGTTGGATCTAATCTTAAATCATAAATGATAATAAACTTCAAAAAACATTAATTGACAATGGTACATATAAAACCACATTCCCTTGCAAATGATGCTAACTTTCAAAGACTATGATTGGTTGTTTGGGAGGTTTATTTCTTTCTGCACCCTTATGTTTCCAACGGCTTGTGTAACATTTGTCAACTGAAATGATACGAAGAAAAGTCGATAGCTGTGGGCTTTTTCTTGTATGCTTCTTCACACACAACTAGGCTGAAGACTGCTTTGTTACTGCATCTTTCCTAGTTGGATCTTCTTCCAGGCTTCAGAGGCTGTAAAAATGCAGGAGTCAAGAATCCCAGCCACAGTAAATGTTCCACCAATGATGGCACAAATCTGAAATGAATAAAGAAGAAGGAAACATTGAGCACTGTTTGCCTTCCCTGTCCTCCCCTCCAATTTCCTTCCCCACAACCCTCAGAAAGATCTCCTCAGGCACACTAGATGCAGTTAATGTAAGTTTAATCCATGAGCTAAATAAAAATTTGAGCCTTTTCTTAAATACAGTATAAAACTCCTTAGTGTTGTGGCTGGTTTTTTTTCTGAATTCTTTACATCTTAATAAATATTCCTCTTTAAAAATTGGGTGCTTCTTAACCCTTCTTCTACCTTTCATCTCATCCTTCCTGGTTACATTAGAATCACATTGGGTTGAGATCATGTCATTTTAGTACAGTATAGCATTAAGGATCTTCCCAACTAATCACCCCATTCATGAAGTAAAATATACTGGGGTGACATTTGCTTCCCATTCTGCCTTCCTCCATTCCTTTCTTCCCTCTGTTGTGGTTGCTTCTAGTTACAGTTGTTTAGTGCTGTTCAGATTATTTTGAGTAGCATTCTTTAATCACTGTTTTAGGAGTATATCTGACTAAACTCAGTGTGCCTTACTCTGGATATACATGTATAGGATTTCGGCAATGCGAGACTATTATCCTGTGAACATTAGCTGTCAGTGGCTTCAATGGACTTTACTTCTGGATGGACATTATAGCAGCCTTCTTCCAACTGGATGCCCTCCAGATATGTTGGCCTCAATCCCCTTAACTGGCTGGGCATTATGCTAATTGCAGCCATCAGGACACTAAGTTGGGAAGGATGCTTTATCTTTTTGGGCTACATACTAAATTTGACGAAAACATTATTATTCTTGTACACAGGACATGTAATACTGAGATTGCTACCTAAAAGAATAATTATTCCATTGCGAAGGGAACTAGGAATAAGATTACAGGTAGTCCTCGATTTACAACAGCTTGTTCAGTGATCATTTGGAGTTATAACTGCACTGAAAAAAGTAACTTATGACCGTTTTTCACACTTACAACCCATATCATGTGATCAGAATTTAGACTCTTGGTAACTGACTCATATTTATGACGGCTGCATTGTCCAGGAGGTCATATGATCCCCTTTGGAACCTTCAGACAAGCAAAGTCAATAGGGAAGTCAAGTTCACTTAACAACCATGTTGCCAACTTAACAACTGCAGTGATTTACTTAACGACTATGGCAAGAAAGGTCGTAAAATGGGGCAAAACTCACTTCACAAATGTCTCACTTAGCAATATAAATTTTGGGCTCAATGGTGATCGCGACTACCTGTATATAGAACTTCAATAGCAGTAACAGAAGCAGTGGGGGAGGAATTGTTAATTTCTGTGTGTATTTTCCATTCAGATATTTGTGTCCAATGAGCTCAGTGACATGGAAATATGTTTCCGTGAAAAAAGAAATAAGTTAATGCATTTTTTCAAAGCATAGCTAAAATTCTGGGAAATAAAAACCACAGAAAGAAATGGAAGAAACTGATCTCTTTACATTTTTTTTCTTTTTGCAAAGTAAAATGTTTTTCCCGACTACTCCTCTTAGTTCATGTACCCTGCCTTCTACCAAAAGTGATGCACAGTTACTTTTTAGGGAATATGACAGCAGAATGAGTTAGGTAACTTCAACCAATACAAATCAGCTGACCCAAGAGGTTTTAAACCACAAGATGGGAACGGAGAAAGACTTGATGCATCGAAGCAGGAAAGTATGACTTCACATTTCTAAACATAAGAAAAATATAATTCCACTTCTATTTAAAAAATGAAACACCCCCACATACAGAGCATTCTCTGAACCTGTAGAAACAACTGGATTTCTTAGGACAGCCACCATTTCACTTCAACAATTAATGAGCTAGGACATTTATTACACAAAATGTCACTATCCCATGATTATACGACAGTCAATAAACAGGACAAGGCCAGAAGAATACTCTGAACTGTGTGAAGACGTGAGTCACAAAAAATGTAAATAATGTCCCTAGTTCCTCTTATAGTGAGCCAATGAATAATTTTTGTGTGAGCCAGAAGGCTATAGCCCTCTCCACAATCATGAAAACTCCAATTCAACTCCAGGTCAATCATGATGCAGTAGGGACTTGGAACAGCAAAAATGGTAATGGTCTGGAGAGTAACTCTGCTAGGTTTGAAAGGCCTAAGATAATATTTGTCTGAAATGGTATAGGGTTTCCTGCCTGAGCAGCGGAACTAGAAGACCTCTAAAAGCAGCGGAACTAGAAGACCTCTAAGGTCCCTTCCAACTCTATTGTTGTTGTTATTATTATTTGTCCTACGACAAATAATAATAGCCTACTCTAGTTTTTGTCCTAGCAAAGAGGCTGGTTATTTCAACATAACAGAAATGCAAGGACAATATTTACAAGAAGAATTTCTAGTAATAATAGAAAAAAGGCTGGTATCACTAAAGCACATATGAACAGGCATTATCCCTTCCATGAAGATCTTTAGACTTAAAGCTGGAACATGATTGTTTGTTGACTTCATACTCTGTCTATTAGCATTAGAAAACAAGCCAAGATGTGAGAAGTTCAATTGGATCCCGGTGCCAAAGAAGCAGATTCAGAAAAGGAAGAATGCTAAAATAGGTAAGCCGCTATTAACATATAGAACAGATCAGAAACCAGGACAAATGGGCAAATGACAAGCCTTATGATAAGGAATAGGAAAAGAGCACTAAAATAAAAAGCCAATCGGCATTCAAAGGTTCCACAAATTACAACAAAAGAAGAACTGAAAACACAAATTTACATTTACTTTTCTGTTTTGTACTGAATGATGTATCGGAATAGTGTGTAATATGTGGCCCTCCAAGATGCTGTGTAACTACAGTTCCATGAAGTCATGATTTCATAACGAACAAACTGCATTTCTCTCTACTGTATTAGCATAATGTATTAGCATAATGAGATATAATAAACATAATAAAGATATAATAAAGAAAAAGAATGTTTCACTACAGTACATACAACCATAAAAGAGCTTGCCAATTAAGGTTATATGTCATGATGATCGTAAATTGGGTTGGTCACATGACCGTTCATATTTTATGACCATTTTTGTGGCCGTCATTATGAAAACACAATATTTGTAAAACAAACACTCAAAAACATCTCCCTTTTTATGATTCTGTAATCCCTTAATTTAGGGCAGAGTGGATGGAATTGAGTGTTTACTGGCCAGATGCCCTTCCTGATGCCACGCAGAGTTCACAGCAGATATTTTTTTCTTTGCGTCCCAGGAGAGAAACATCTACCAGCACCTAGGATTGAACTCTCAACCTTTTGAGTGTCTTCACCACTAGGCCACCACGTCGCTCCACCTATGGTCATTAAACAAGTGATGCAGTCATTAAGTGAACCCATTGTTCATTATAATGGGGTTTTGCCGAAAACTGGAAGTAACTTCCAGTTTTCGGCAAAACCACTAGAAAATGTGGTTATATGATTGCAGTGTGCTGCAAACGGTTATAAATACAGTAATGTTGCTGAGTGTCCGAAGTACGTGGAGGGGGAAACCAGTGGAACTGTGAATCTGGATCCTAATTCCCTTTTTCTAGGTAAGCTGCAATTCTGTTAAGCGACCGGACATAAGTCAAGGATTACCTGTACAAGAAAGCATAGCTGGGCAATTCCCTGATATAGTGCAACTTCTTGCTAATTTGATTTTTTATGTTATCAGCCACTATTTATATCTCCACCCAATGCAAAGGCTGGAGAACAGAAGATGCTAATTTGTTGTATACATTCTGACAACTCTGCCATGACTGAAGGAAGAAGCTAAAAGTAAGTTAACTAAACGTTAAAGCTAAGTGGAGTATGAAACACTCTTTCAAACTCTTACTTCATTACACTGGAATCCACCTTAAAACATACAGTTTGGATGGAACTATAAAATGGACGATCCCATCTGGTGCAACAAAAGGTTTCCTTGAAACTAGCAATTTCAGCAGGAAGATGTGGTATTGGGGGGAGGGAGGGGGAGGGGGAGGCAAAGAAAACATCAGATATGTGCAGATATTCCTTGAGAACAAATATACTGTAGATGAATTCAATATTACAATATTAGAATTCTAGCATTCTAAGGCAGGATTACAGTGTGTGATGAAAATAAAATCTTTGCATACTAGAGATGATGTTTGAGAATATAACTATGGCAATACAAGTTTGAGAATCTTTTACAAAATGCTACATTAAATGTTACAACATTAAAATCAAATTTAAAAATCCACAATTTAACCCCTCCCCCTACACTCCCCACTCCATGTTTCAGCCTTTAGGCCAAAGCATCCAGTACCTCCCCATTTTCCTATCTGAACCATTTTCTGTTTTCTGGATGCGTCTGGGAGAGTTCAGCATTTTAGCTCTTTTCTGACTTAAATCTCTAGCATATACATTCAGCTTATGAATCGGCAAGGACAAGAGGGTAACAGTAATTTACCGTCGTGATAAATCTGTACAAAGGCTGTCGTCTTTCTGTGTACTTCACTGTAATAGGGCTCAAATCATAGCGAAACCAAATGGCTGGAATAATGCGCCCTGTGTGGCTATATGCTACGTATTCCTAAAAAAGAATAGAATAAATATATATATAAAACAGACACCTAAGAAGTCTGCATGCACCTACCCACTTTCCCCTAAGATACTGATAATCTGTGAGATGATTAATGGAATCCAGATTTAGTTAACTTTAAAGAGCAGGCCCTTCAAAATAATTTGGACTTAAACTAGTAATGATTTTTATGATACTAATTTCACAGGGCCTACTCCACATATGACTACATCTTGATCTAACTCAGTTATGGATATTACAAAACTAACACCTCTTGTGCAGTAAAGTAGCAGTTACAACTTTCTGGGCTATGAGAGAAAATCAATGTTTTTAGAGCCTGTGATTTTAAAGTAGCTTTTTAATTCCTGAAGTTCAAAAGGTCAGAAACTTCAATTGAAGTGAATATTAAAAAGATCTTGAGAAACAATGAAAGGAATAGGAATAATAATTTAAAAGAATTCAGAACATAGCATTATGAAGTCATGTAGTAGGAAATCTGTGTAAAAGTAAATTCTTTTATATGAGATTAGCAGGGTTGAAAAGAACTATAGGAATGTTTAAACAGGAATTTTTGTAAAAGGAAGCAAGTATCCTGGGCAGAGAAAAATATACCTAAGGGATAGGAAGGATCTATCTCAAAATCCATTAATCCAGCCATGCCTTCAACTATACAAGACAGTTACTCACAAAGCAGGAAGCAATGACTGGTCAATCAATTTATAGCCTATGTCAATTTATCAAGTATTCATATATCTATCCTTTTCCCACGTTAATCTGCAAATAATATTTTTCATTGCATGGAGTTGAAAAATATATATTTGAATATTCATATCTAAGCACATCTATGGGGTTGGGTGTGTTTTTGAACTGTAAATTGGGAACTTTGAAAAACAGAATTTTCCATTCTTATCAGATTGACTGACTGAAATACATTCCAGTTAAATACTTCGACCTTACTTTTTAATTTTCTTTTTTCTAATCTTCCAGGAGAGGGAGCTATTTGTATTGTTTAAACAAATTCATATTGAAAGAGCAACAATGGATACAAGACTGGAAAATAATATTAAATCAAGACTTTTTAGAAAGGGATGTAATAACTTTACCTTATTGGCTACAGTATATTGGTATGAGTAGCGCTGTTTGCCACTCATGTCTTCATACACAGTAGGAACAATCTTCAGTATATAATCGTGAGAAGCAAGGGCTGTGTAAATAGAATATACCTCTTTTTTGAGAAACCAAAAAACAACAACAACAGAAGTGCTGTTCGGGCGTATAGATTTCAAAGTACTGGTCTTGAACCTGGATTAATCCATTCTGAATTAATTTCCAACTGAAAATAATACACACTTAATTGTCCTAATTTTTCCTCAATATATAAGAATATATCTAATCCTTTTTTTTGTGGATTGCCAGATGCTTTTACACATTCAATAATTTTTCCAGTAAAACAAAAATCTAATTTCACCAGATATTGAAATATTATTCCAATTTGCAACTCTCAATCATCATATACATTAGAAAGTTTTCAATACTAACGTAATTTGGAGATGGTATATAATTTTCCATACGTTCAGTCTGACCCATTTGAAATTCAAATAACTTTTTTTAAAAAAAGCATTACATTTATGTCATGGGTCATATTACTACCAATGAAGGGTCATCATATTTAAAGTTGAAGAAATCATCTGACTGTTTGAGAGGAAGCTGGATAGATACATCATGGGGTTTTGAAACATAATCTCATAGCAAAGATAGAAATTCTATAGGACAGGAACTAGTCTTTCAGTAATAGCTAAATGGAATAATGTAGTTCCGAATTACAGTTACCTTAAAGTAGTCTAATTTATTACCTCCTGTAAGTAAATACAGAGGAAGGAAATGCCAAGCAGAAAGATGTTGGCAAGGACTAGACTCATTTCCTGATATACATGATTCTTAAAACTTTGCATCTCTTTGCACCAACTCTTTTTATCTTTGTTTCTTTCCTTCCAACATACATGGACATACATGGAAGTTTTGCAAAGGTAGATCTGTGTAAGACTGTAGTGGCAAAATATCAGAAGGTGTCTGACAGCATCTTTTCTGGTTAACTAATTTTATTAAAAGGCATAGGTTTTTGGAAATTGCAGCTAACCTCTGAAGGTCAATCCAACAAGTCTTCTGAAGTTGCTCTTAAAGACAAATTTATAGTATCTTCTTCAGGTATCAGATATCTCTAAGAAGCCACAGTAATCAACAAACCCCTGGCTGCAGAACCCATCACTAATATAAAACATCAAGAGACCAATTTTTCCCAACCTGGTTCTGTTCAGATGTACTCATGTATAATTCGCAACATGACCAAGTAAGTCACTAGGCTGTCTGAGAATTATGTACTGCCTTCAAGTGTTTCTGAAGACTATTACACTGAAGAAAGCTGTTATAGATAATTGATCTGGACCTCTTTTACAGCCAGTGTAATCAAGTCTGTCCATCCCAAATTTATTTCATTGCTTAAGACCACCAATGATACAAATTAGTTTTGTAAGGTTCTCCAATTATGAATTCTATACTAATACAAGATAAGTTAAACACCACAAATTGTACATACGGTTTGAACTGAGTCTGTCTGTTCCCCCTAGTGCATTGAATGCTCCATGAATGTTCGGGACCTGAAGAGACAAAGACCACAGAATATATTTTTGCATTAAGTATGTGTTTTTCTGCTCTCCAAAGACAAATAAAATAATCCTTAAACAGAGATTAGAAGAAGAGGAAGTGAAAGGGAAGAAACCTCTTCAATTTTCATACAGTTTTATATTGATGTCATCATTCCTCCTTACTCAGGAACAATTTTTTTTTAATTTCCAGAAATCTTATAAACGAAGTATCTTAAAGCAATCGAAGCATCTCAACATATCTACAATACTTGGCATATATTAGCTAATTTTATAAAGTTAAATTCTGAGCATACAACGGTAAGTGAAGTATCAAAGAGTTTCACCAAACTTCACTAAGATTTTTTTAAAATGAAAATGATTAAAAAAATATCAACTTTGATTAATTAAGGTTTCTAAGTCTTGTGCTTTACACAAAAGCAACAACTGACATAAGGGTAACACTTATAAAAGGATGGTGCAGCTGGTTTTCTAAAGAGGCATTCAAATTATTAACACTCTAAAAGATTTGCCCTGCACCAAGTGGCACAGCATCTACTGAAAGATTATGCAGAAACATGACTGCAGCTCTGTTTTTGACAGAACTTCATTCATAGATGTGTCATCCGAACAGCTCATTGAGAAGCAGCATTTAAAAAAAACAACCCACAGCTAATGCCAAGTTATGAGCTCAGCCAATCCATTACACTACAAAGACAAAACACTTTCATGATCTGGACTGAAATATAAAACCAGTGAGAAGATCGATTTAGTTTCAAGTTTGAGGATACCAATTTTAAGGCAGTTGCCTTTTTTCGAGCCCGAGAACATTCCAAGAACACCAACTGGAAATGAAAAGACACAATGAAAATCCTTAACCTCGCAACACATGGACAGATTCAACCATAGTTTCATTGGAAAACTGTGAGCATCCTAGACCAAGATAAATCCAAAAACACTAGGGAAATTCTGGAAGATTGGTATTCAAACAAATCAACCATTAATAAACACATAGAGCTAAACCATATGTACACACCATTCATATTAGACAATAAAAATCCAAGAAAGAAATGAAAAGACCAGTATAATGTTCTCTGGCAGCCAACAGGGATTGATACTGACAAACAAAAAGAAAAGAATACCCTAATCAAGAAATGCAATGATAAAAGCTCACCCCCACCAATACTGACAGGGCAAGCTCCTGTATAAAAACAGAGGAAGCCCCACACTCACAAGCAATGGTGATGTTACCTAGTCAGATAATGGAACATCTGCAAGCAAAAAACCAATTAAGAGAGCATCAAGAACTTCATCGTTGAATCCTGAGCAACATATATTAACTTCTTTTCATATTAGTCTATGTTGCACTGATCAGACTGCACCACTTTCTTTTTTTTAAAAAAAATATATTTTATTGGATTTTATATGGGTAGGGAGACTGCACCACTTTCAATACTGTGTCCAGTTCTGTCACCAATGATGTTGAGGAACTGGAAAACATGCAGAGGACAGCAACAAAGATGCTAAGATTCTTGCAGGCTAAATACTACAAAGAGTTATTAAAGGAATTGGGTGTGCTTCATGTAAAGAGAAGGGTAGGGGAAGACATGATAGCAGTTTTCCAATACATGAGGGGAGGTCACAAAGAAGATTTATTCTGTATAGCACCTAACAGTAAGACAAGAAACAAGGGATGGAAGAATTACAGACAGATATCCAAACTTGAAGTAAGGAGGAATTTCCTCATTGTGAGAGGCACTAAGCAGTGGAACAGCCTGCCTCCTAAACTTATGGATGTTTCATCACTGGAGGTTTTCATGAAAAGATCAGACAGTCATTTGTCTGGGATGGTCTGAAGATTCCTGTCCTGGACAGGAGTAGACTAGAAAACCTCCACGATCCCCAGCAGTTTAGCTTTACTACTGCGTTACCAAGTTTACTTCTCTTTCTGGACTTATCCTGATATAAGATCCGCAATCCCGAAGCTCTGTGTTGCAGATTGTGCAATGTTTCCCAACCTGTCATTCTCTAACTATGTTAGGAATGGAACTCCCAAAACTTTGGGAGTTGCACTCCAATCAGATCTGGAAGATGCTAGCTTGGGCTAGGCTGAGATAGAGCATAAGTGAAGATATGTCTTGTACTACACTTAGATATAATCACATACCAAATAAAAATACTCAATATCCTTTTTTATCTTGTAGCACACCCATCATTTATAGAGAAGACAAAGTGTTATAAGCCCCCAAGTCTTCCATTAGTCATAACAAAGAGCACAAACTGTTGAAAACTATTATGGAAACTACGTGTGAAATAAAACATTCACAGTATCTATCCAAATATATTGTTGCCACTGCATTCTCCCCCCCTCCCCCAAAGGTACAAAAAACTATAGTGAGTCACCACTGGCCATCAATGCAATTAAAGAACTCCCACAGATAAGCAATTCCTGGGGAACAAGAAGAATAGGAATCAATAACCAAACAAATAATTCCAAACTGGAGCTTTTATAGTTTAAAGAATAAACCTGACTTAATACTAGCAAGGCCTATTTTTAACAGGCTGCAAAATAACATTCAGAAAGCATCCTGTTACATAAAATTATGTTTTTCTCATTGAACTAACTTGTTTCGTTTTCATTTCCGACCAATCTTTCTTTTCAATTGTAAACATAGATCACATAATTGCATCAGATATTCCTAGCAGTTGTTTCTAGCAGACAAAAGAGACATGCACAGATGAGCTCATTCTTACTGGCTGTGTTGCACAAGTTGGCAACTCCTTGCCATTTACAAACAAATGGATTTCCATCTATGTAGTATGCATACGTTGGTAAGCACCATCCCATAGCTGGAAAGGAATTGACCATACATAGCCTTTTTTTCTGATGCATTTACTTGTCACAAGAGAAATAAATCAGCGTATCAGATTGAATAGAAATGCCTTGCTTTTTGCTACATACAACTATTTAACAAGATGGAGAACCTTCTTGAGAGCTGTAGTTCTCGGAACTCACCTGAAGCTTGTCGCCGAAGGACAATTTGTGGATGACATGGGTCATATCAGGATTCTGAGGCTGTGCAGTGGCACTATGTGTTGACATATGAAAATTCCCTGGAACCTAGAAGAAAGCAAAGTTCAGTTTCTGTTGTGCTTAAAATCATCAGCAACCAATGTCTGATGTGTAATTTAAAACTTCAAAACACTTATAACACCTGGAAGATGCAGGCTAAGCCATGCCTGGAAATGCCTGAAATGCTTATACCAGTGATGGCGAACCTTTTAGAGACCGAGTGCCCAAACTGCAACCCAAAACCCACTTATTTATCACAAAGTGCCAGGGCTGCATCAGCATTGTGGTGCCCTTAGGGGGGGTGGCCCACTAGGTGTGTGTGGCTGCAGTGGTCACGGCAGACTGGGTGAGCGTGGCCGGGGCCATTCCCTCGCCATCTTCGGGGCATCCCTGGGGGGCCAACATCGCTTGCTCGCTCACTTCCTGCCCTGTCACTTCCAAACGCCATGTGCTCGCTACTCTGACGAACTCTGCTGGGGCAGTGGCACGGGTGCCCACAGAGAGGACTCTGAGTGCCGCCTCTGGCATGCGTGCCATAGGTTCGCCATCCCTGGCTTATACAATTAAGTCCCCCCTTTAAATGTTCATAATTATAATTTAAGAGCAAAAAACAAAACAAAGCCCTACACTGGATTCTTGCAACTAGTCAACAAAGAAACTAGCTAATATGAAAGAACATTGTAAAGAAAATAATAATCATATTCTATCGAGAAAAATATTTACATGGCAAAATGAGCAAGAGGGATTGCATACCATTTTTAGGCATATTCTAACCTGAATTAATAGGCAGTACAATTTCATAGCCTGTGGTGCAAACAGGAGGCATGAGTTGGCTGTACATCTTGATTTTACCAACAACATGCTACACGCTCCTTTTCCTCCACCCTGTGGAGTCACAGGTGGCCTTATATGGCTGAATTATCTAATGCCACCACACCCATCCTGAGAAGCAGGTCTGGTTTTTCATGGCTGCTAGCGAGTGAAACTTTGGCTCTACTCCCATCCTGAGAACTGAATATCCTCACTCTTTAACATCAGGATGTTTCTTCCCATCAGGGTGTCATTCTTTATTAGCTAAGAGGTCCTTGGAATAGAAGGCAGTATTGTACTGCATTAGGCTACAGTTCTTTGCCCTGTGCCAGAGGATACAATGTTTTGATGAGAAAAGAGAAAAGGCAACATGAAGATTTGTTATGCTCTTCAGAAAGACAGAATCAACTCTAAAGCACTTTAAAATTCCACATTAGCAATAATCCTATCGCTGATGAACCAAAAACTGAATCTATCAATAGAGCACTATTTCCTCTTTCTGTCATGCTCTTTGCCTCAGTAAATACTATATCCCATTTTCTTTCCTATATTCCTTGAGAACTTGGCCTGCTGCATTTAGTCAAAATAAATGTCTAGTTTAATGGATTAAAGATGTGCCCTACAATTCATTATACAATACCCTTTCTAAAGTATTTGTTTTAATGCTCACAATTATAAAACTGCAGGAAGTATCAAAATTCTTTTAAAAAAAAAATTTTCCCCCTCTTTTCAGAAAGAACAAAGAATGTTTCTCCAGCGATGTCTGGTTGCATATGTACTTATGACAACAGAAAAACTGCAAGCTTTTTCTTCTAAATTGTTGATTTGTATGCACATCCCTGGGTAACAGTTCTAATTGTGATAGTGTGTCAGTAACAGGTTGTTGCTGCTGCTGCGATTTAAACTAGTCTTAAAATTAGTTTCATTTAATTATGAAATTATTATTATTATTATTATTATTATTATTATTATTATTATTATTATTATTATTATTATTATTATTATTATTATTATTATTATTATTATTATTATTAGAGTATGGGGTTGTTACAGTAGCTAGGAGACTACAATGCTACTGAAGATTAGTAATCTGGCTGCCTGTTTACCAGCTCTGTTAGGTACACGCCTGCACGTTTCTTACAGTGCACCACAAGCTAGCTTCGCACTAGAAAGAAAGACAAGTGCCTCTTCCTGCAGTGTCATTCAAGCCCCGCCTTCCCCAGAGCCACTTTGTAAATGGACATCACAACCAGGAAGGTTCAGAATTGGCAGGAATCTGACTGCCTGCACGGAGCACCAACTCGTCTCCTCACTGAAGTGGTACCTATTTATCTACTCGCATAGAACATGCTTTTGAAGTGCAAGGTGGCAGTGCTAGGGCTCAAACCACTGCAGCAGAGACCATCTCCAGTGTCATAAAGTCACTGAGCCACCATGCCTCTCCTTATGAAATCATGTGTACATATTATAGAGCGAAAAGTTGGGAGGAACCATCCAGAACATCAGATCTAACCCTGCTTAATCCACGAATCCAAATTAAAGCATTCCAGTCTAACCTTTGCTTGAACACACCCAGTAAAGGGAACCCCACCTTACATAAGCAACTGGTTCTACCATCAAATTGCCCTTACTGTTAGAGAGTCCTTTTTTCTTAATTAGTTTGTTGTTGATATTTATTATAACGTAAAGCAAAAACAGAGACAAATATAATAAGGGAGTAGGGGAAAGAAAAGAAAGGAGAAAGGTGTGCAAGGTAAGAGGTAGAGAAAAACAAGGGGGTGACTTCCAACTTTTTTTTTTCAGCGCAGTAGAGTACAAAATACAATTACAACCTCAACTTTTTGCTTTATCTTTTTAGCGAGTACTAGCCATTCCTATAAAAACAAATTAATCTAATCATCAATACCTAAAATCGGAGTTTCATTTTTTCCCCTGTTTACAGCATGAAGTCCAGAAGCAGTTTTCAAGTCTTCAAATGTAAGTTACAGGAAGTGTGCTTTCCTGTAACTTACATTTATGATGAACAGATCATGGCTTTTTTCCCTGTAATTTTTCAGATGTTTGAATGGTATTACTTTACTTTTCTTCAGTCTTCTCTTTTCATGTCTAAACATTCATAATTCCTCCAATTTACTCTTCACTGATGAACTATATTTCCCTCGTCTGACCTTATTCAGTTTGTCTGAATCTTGCAATGCCTAGACTTTAGACTGGATGGGTACCTAAAATAGGATCTGACTAATGCCCAATAAGCTGGAACTACTACTGGCAGTGATTTTGGAAAGTATATTTCAAAGTGGAATACAAAAATGAAAAGTGATTGTTCAAGATCAGCATGGAAATGAATGGTGTTTATTAGCAAGTTATTTCAAAAATATAAGGATGGGATATTTTCTTGCTAAACACTCCAACTGTTGCTTGAAACAGCAGAATGGAAAGTGTATTTAACTGTAGATTGCTTTATCTTATTGCAACATTCCATGGAACAGAGACATAAAATCAATTTTTTTTAACAAGAGTCTGATTTCCAGGAACCAAAGCTATATGAAAACTGTCGACTAGGGCACTTATTCAGGAAGAAGTTCCGATTTCATTATTTATTTCTGTAATACCTTCTTACTCTTATTATGATAAAGAAACAGTTGCAGATACCTACTGTATGCCATTAAGGGGAAAACTTAACACCAAACCTGTTTCTTCTTCATAAATGACAAATTTCATACCTCATTCCTTTACAATATGAGGGCCGCTTTAAACAGCTCTATGTCTTCCGCAGTGGTATATGAGCTAAATCATAGTTCTTGCAGCACATTGCACTCTCTAGACATACAAGCAGTTTCTTTTTCAAAGCGTTTCAACATTTCCCCTGAGTGGTTTCAGTTTTACTTGCCTTGTTGATGCTGAAATGACCCTCAAATCTGCATCCATCTCCATTATTCAGAGGAATTTTCATTGAGTTATCAATATGGCCAACTTCATGTCTTCCCATTTCATCTTGAATATCCAATCCAATCACTACAGGTCAAAGACCAGAGTCAAAAAGAGGAAGAGAGAATGTATTGTAAATGACTTAACACAAAGACATTCACTGTATCCCCCATTTTTATATAAAAGTGAAACTAGATAGAAAAATAATCGTCATTAAATATTTAATTTTCCCCTAGTTTTATGAACTCATAGAATTTAGTATTCTGATAACTACTACCAGAAGTAGTCAGTGCTAGAATGCAACTATCAACTCTTCTTTAGTAAGCTATGCCAAGCTTCTAGGATTTGATATGGCTCAATAGTGCTCCCCAAAGCATCTGGTCAGTTAACCCATTCAGAGAACTGAATAAATGGAATATAGCTTGTATTTCCCCAAAGCCTTTCTAATATAATTTTTTTAATTGTTTGTAATCTTTTTAAAATTGTTTTTGTTGTATTTTTGGGTTTTTTTTCTGTATTCCTTTTTGGTTTTTAGCTTTGTCATAAGACTCATGTATATGAGATGGGCAGCTATATAAATTTATCAAATAAATAAAGTATAATAATATTTATATTGTCTTGCTAGTACATTATGGGAGGAAAAGACAACTAAAATTTGGCTGTTCAGAGAATGAGTTAATAGAAAACGCTATATATCATCTCTGCCATTAGAAAACAATCTTCTTATTTTCAAGCTTAGGGACACCTAAGGTATCCACCTGATTATCTTGACTGAATCTTCTTCAGAGGCTATTCCATCAGTTCCTGTAGCCTTCTAATTTGGTAATGGCCAGAGTGCTGAACTAACTTGATCAACTCGTACCAGAGGTCCTTGAAAGTAAATAGTATCTTCTAAGGAATCTTGGATATGGACATCTCTACTGTATAGTGTTTTACTAGACGCCTTCCATTTTCCTTTGATCTCCTTTGAATTGGTTACATCTACTGGCACTCTTTACCATACTAATTTGAGATTGGAATTTTCTGGGCACAGAGATTTTTATAAGACTTTCCTTGTTTTTCCATGACAGCTTCCACATCCAATGCCTTTACAGATGTTGTTGTAATACTGCTTCTTGTCTTTTCTAATAGCTCTCTAGTTAAGTTCCATTCTGAGGTTTTGGTCTTTCTTGACTTTGGCGTCCCTTCTTGGCAATTTTCATGATTACCTTTGACATCCAATTTGCTTTCTGTATTTTTGGCAGTCTCCTTTCATTCATCTTTAACAACCTCTTTTAAGTTCATTCCATAATTCCTGTGGTTCTCCTTGAAAATAGTGGATATATGTTCAAGAACATGCCTCTCTCCCATTACACTATTGATAATAAAGCTGAAAAGATGATATATAAGATTCTCCTGGGAAGCTCTCTATCAGAGGAAGCAACATATGAACCAGTAAACTGCATTAAAAATAAGACATTTCTTTTTTTAAAAAAAATCACATCTAGGATCATACATAGCAGTATAGCTTGCCCCTCCTATAATTTTAATTCCATTAACATCTGAAAATGATTACTGTATCCTACTCAGTCATTTTGGGAATAGCTGAAATAAAAAAGGAGCTTATGCCCAAGAGATTTGTGTGAGAAATGTGTATTAATTGCTAAGATCTCCAGAAGCTGTGATACTTTAATACCTGATATAAATGATGCTTGTTTTCCCTTTCTATTTCCCTAGTAACTAATCGCCTTCCAAAAATTTAAGATGCACTTAGGAGGCCAGTCAACAAGCACAGCAATTGCCATCAGATCTATTCACTTCAGTGAACTTTGTGTTCTTCTCTCACAACAGAAGAGAGAAATCCAATGACATATGAGCTGGTGGTAGAAATTCTACTTAGAAAATCCATGCTCTTGCATCACTTGTAAAAATAGTTACAACCGCCTTACAGTCATTTTGAAACCGTTGTTTTTCATAAAAGCTCTTTGCCTAGTACTGAAAACATGAGATTATATGCCAAATTTGCTCTTCATGCCCTTTTTAAGAAAAGAGTGTTCAGTAAATATTTCTCTTTTCTGTTAAGTACCCTGTCATTTGTTACAGTGACAAGTACACTATTATCTAAATAAATATTTAGCAACACCAGAAAAGTCATTCATAAAAGCAAGAATATAATTTTACATAAAAAAATATTTTTTTCCAAGAAAAGAACAAGTATTACTCATAGGAATTTGAATGTGAAATATGAAACTAACATAGTTCTGCAATCACAGTTGTAAACTTAGCTGAATAAGGAAAACTCACATTCACAGTGTAGGCTTGGCAAGCTGATGTTCAAATTTACTTCTATTTTGCCTCCACTGTCTTTGTCTGGATCATCCACATAGAGTTCATTTACACTGCAAGGGAGAAGAAAATAGGTGGTGTCATTTTTAGGAGATATTAAAACAAGCCTTTATTTGAATGAAATATGCCAAAGACATTAGTATTGAAAGAGAAATAAACTTTGCTGTAGGACTGAGCTATACCGGTTCAGAAAAATAATTATACCACTCTTCAAAATACTCATGCTGTCTCTTTAGAACACATGCAGAATGCAGAACAACTGATCTAACAATAATTTCAAAGGAAACGTACTTAGGTTGAGAGAAAAGATGCACTTTTTTATGTGATTGTGCTAACTCTATTAAGTAACATGAAAGATTCCTAACGGCACAAATAAAAGTAGGTTGTAATCAGTTAAATAATAAGTACAGTGTGTACCTTCTCAATAAAAAATAAAATATACTCACAATGAATAGAAATCAGATTCAAGCTTAGACATGTTAATAATTGGGGAAGTTGATTCTCTTTCTTGGCTCCCAATTAACAAAACTATTCAAAATAGCAGTTTTTATATTAGATGACCAAATGTGAACAATTTGGTTCCAGGCCAGTTTCAATTTCATTCATTTAGGCTAAGTAAGTCAATTTTAAATAGATCTCCATTATTCAATTTTACAAATAAAAGGACATTATTTAAAAGTTGAAATGTGGCACAATTAATATTTTTTTTCAAAGAAGGTCCATTTCAGTGTTTCTCAACCTCAGCAACTTTAAGATGTGTGGACTTCAACTCCCAGAATTCCTCAGCCAGCAGGCTACTTAAAGTTCTTTTTAAGTTCCTCAGGTTGAGAAAGACCCTTCTATGCACTTGATGTATGTGAATGAAATGGAGTAAAGAAACAGCTCGGTTCTGCCTGCCTCAAACTTATGATTTCCAGTTATGTTCAGGCAGGGGAACTGTAGGATAGGAAGTGGACTCAATCTATTCCCTTATGTTCATGTTCTCATACGTGTTACATCATTAATGTTTGTTCTCATAATTCCTTAATGTTTGTTCTCATAATTCCAAGGATTAAGTAATATGCAGATGTTTCTTCTTAGCAAAAAAAAAAAAGGGCACAAATATGCAAGTGCTCTAGGATTAAGTAATATGCAGACATTTCCTTAGCAAAAAGTAGGCCACAGATATGCAAAGCTTCTGATTGATGAGCTATATTTTTTAATTTTTGTTTTAAAATACACATTTACTTTAACAATAGCAAGAAGCAAGTGATATGCTTCTCACATAATCCTATAAATGACTAATAATATACCTAATATCATTATATAAAGGAGAACACTGAAGGTTAACCAAAGTCTGTATTAGCACATTAAATTAAAACAGAATGGCTGCACTCTTATTATTAATAGAATAACAGAGTTGGAAAGGACCTTAGGTCTAACATCCTGCTCAAGCAGGAGACCCTATATCAGTGATGGCGAACCTTTTAGAGACTGAGTGCCCAAAAATCGTTCCGCCTGCCGGCCCGCCCCCCCACCCAGGTGGAGTTTTCTATAAGTATAGTTACTTACACCCAATAAAAGGAGGAAGCAGTAGATATTATTTGACTTAATCCAATGTGTGAATATTTTGTTTAAAAAGAACAAAAGGACAGGCTCGTGAGGTATAAAACTGAATTCCAAATGAAATTGCTTAGCATAAAGGATAATTAATCAGCATATGTCAAGAAGTTTAGTTCTCATCCAATTCATTCAAGTCACACCTCTTTCTCAGCAATTAATTCCTGAGCTCATTCTGCAAGTGCTTGCCTTCCCTTCATTCTTTTTTCACTTCTAACACTTCTGCATTTTCCTTTCTTTTCAGATTCTTGGTAGAAAGATATAGCATGATTTTTCACCATTATCAAGAAAATATTTTACTGGAGCAAGTGAGCTCAAGATGGACCACATGAAAGCAAGAAAGTGTTCTGTTCCATACAATGGAACAGAACACAGGTTCTGTGTTCAGAAAAACATATAATGTTCAGATGCTAAGATTACATGGATAGCCTTTAGTTTTGGGATGGTACATTCCAGACGGAGCAACACATTGTAAGCTATTCCTGAAAGACAGTAAAGCGTCAGATCAGCAAGTTCAGAATAGCTGCATTTCAAGACAATGTACCACACTCAATCTATTGCTTGGCAGTCCTTCCTTAAAATTGATCCATAAGGCAGATGGTAAGCATTAATCAATCCTTTGTTGAGATGACTCATAAATATGATGCAGAAGGGAGGAACATGTCTACTCATGGATGAGCTGGTTTCATGTTCCTTCATTGCAGCTGTTGCTTCCATATAGGCAGAATTAAGCTTTCCACAGAGTTTATCACTGACTGATTACATAGTTATTTGGGATTAAGTAATATAGTCTAAGTTCCCAGGAATGATCTCAGTCAAGAGAAGCATAAATCCTCATAAGCAGTACACCTATCCTTACTAGTAGTTCTTCCTGAGGTATGCCAGCTTATGAGATTGCCTGTTTCGTAACAAGGACTCAGTGCCCTTCTCCCCATCTCCTCCTGGATCTATGAGACACACCTATCCTGTCAGTTACAATCTGGGAAACAAACAAAGCTGTCAAAGGCAGTCAAGCTTTGCAGGTTTTATACTAACAGTACCTTGAAGAAAAAAATTGCATTAAAACACCCTTGGTATCCTTTTTAGGACAAAAAACATTTGCTTTTTGTAGAAGATACTCTAAAAGTATGCCGATTGGGCTAATAGTACAGGTTTGATTTGTGGTTCTTTACTACACAGTATAAACCTTTTATTTCTTTACTATTCTTTTTTTGGAAGAGGTAATACTATGCTTGAGGGGGATCTTGAGCTTATATGCCCCAAATCAACAGAGCTGCTAATCTTGTTGCTCCAGCATCTTAGCTTTCTATCTCCATCTCATCTGCTGCTGTAAGTACACCATTTGCTCCCACCCAAAAGAATTAACTGGCAACCTTAGTAAACAATTGTTCTTCTTCATGATATATCCTTAAAAATCTTCACCACTTTTAAGAACAAAGAGGAAAAAAAAACTTCCTTCCAATTTTACCTAATTATATCATAATTTGTCACCCTTCCTCTTTCTCAAATGGCATTGACAAAGTGCCACAATAGATTGGTTAGACTTCCATGGCTGGTATCTGTTGGGCAGTGCTAAGTTTCAGGATTTAGTTTTCAGATGTTTTGCCAGCAATCATGGCTGGTATCTTCAGAAGGAATGGTCAGCAGAATTGAGCAAGGATAGACTGTGCTTCTGTCTCCTCAAATTTTTATGCTCTTTTTATCTGAAGATATGTGTAAATTACTATTGAAATAATTTGAAGCTCTAGTAAAGGATGGGTAATATGTACTATGAGATAATACAAGCTTTCCTGTTCACCAATGCAGAGGTCCTCAGCCGAAGAAGGTGGCCTGTCTCCTGATGCTTCATCATAATAAAAAGCTATATTGCCACTGCTCCTCTACCAATAATGGCAGAAAAGGGGAGTTTGAAGTAGATTAGGGAATGCCTTAGAAATGTTATATTCAATTGATCTTTCTTCCAACAAAGGAGAACCTTCTCTCCACATATTTCAGAAGAAAATACAATTAAAAACAATACTTTCAATGAAATATAATTAAAAATAATTATTTCAACCAAAAATAAAAAGGGAGTAGAGATAAAAATTAAATCAAACTTCCTACATAGCCAGAATAAACTAAACTCTTCCTACTGATTCCCTCTATTCTTCCCTCTTTGTGTGTTCCTGAAGTGTATGTGTGTGTGTGTGTGTGTTTGTGAGAGAAAGAGGGAGGGAGGGAGGAGGGAGGGAGAGAGAGAGAGAGAGAGAGAGAGAGAGAGAGAGAGAGAGAGAGAGAGAGAGAGAGAGAGAGAGAGAGAGAGAGAGAGTGAGACATGCATGACATCATTGTACAAATGCAATTTATATCTGGTACCAGACATTAAGAAGCAAATACTGTATGTAACATCTTTTTGCTGTCGTTGTGCTTAAGCACTGCTGCTACTGCCTCCAACCTGCTTTTTAGTATCTCAACTTCTTAGTACTTGCTCTTGTGATTCTCTGTTCACTAACAGTTTACCATAAGGATTCAGCTTCTGAAGTAATAAAAATGTAGGTTAAAAAAAGGATACAATGTTGCTTTGTTATTTTAAGATTTAAGATATACCCAACATCTTTGTCACTTCCTCTTTGACCAGACCCAAGAATGTGCAAAGTATACTGGCCTACTATGGAAGGAACGGCAGCTTTCAAATCAATATAAAATAAAATGGAGGTTAGAGACGTCAACATTCATTTGAGTCAGCCACAATAATTGGCACTATAGCACTCAGTCTTCTGTTTCCTGTTAACCCACACACATACATGATGAGGATAAACAGTGTAACCTTACCACTTCAACAATTTTGCAATACCTTTCATTAAAGTATCTCAAAAGAGTTGAGCAAGCATTAATTAAGTGGAGGAAGTAGACAGCCAAATATGATTCTCAACTTAAAGCAAAGCATAATAAGGAATACAAGCAAGATTATTCGTCAAATGCTTGCCAGTCATAGTACTGAAAAAACAAACCAGGGACAAATGAACCAGTTAGTCAAACAATTAAATCACACTGCCCTTATTAGAATAGTTAACTCTTTCTCTAAGCCAGTGCTTTTCAAATAATTTCCTAGAGACTCCTGAGATTATTCAAAATCTTTCCAGAGGTTTTTCAACTTTGAATATTAGAGCTGGTGAAAAGTTCTCTATAAGAAAACTTGCCCACCAGTACTGTCTTTTTCTATAATATGTACAGGCAAAAAAAGATCTTCTCAATCTAGCCATGGTCCAGAAATGAGGATAAATTCCCAGAATTTATTAGTCATTGTGGAGAAGAGCTGAAGAGCTGAAATCCACATATCTGAAGGTTCCCAAGTTGGAGTAGCCTGGTGTATGACATATCCCAGATATACATTTCATTCATACAGGTAACAGAAAGCATATGCTCATTCCATATAGGTAACAAAAATAAAGTGTGGTCTCCAAAATTACACCTCCAAATGCCTTGTGTCATACAAAAGGGAATGGCAGGCATACATATATTCTCAGTCACCAAAAAGGGAGCTGATAGGAAAGAGTTACAACCGATTCACCTAGGTAGGAGGAGGAAGAAGACACACTATGTTAGCCATGATGGCAACTCTAGTAATTATAGATAGTGTAATTGGCATATGTCACAGGGGCTACAGCCCAGAAGCCATGTTGCAGCTAAAGATTGGAGCCTAGGAGTACTAAATAAAAAAACATGCCAGTTCTCATGGACCAGTGCAATCCAGGAATCAGAAAAACATCCAAAGACAGCAGAGTAACAAGTAGCATAAGCATCGAACATTTCTGCAATGTGTTGAACTTCCAGGCTGCTTCAACATTAGCAATCTTCTGACGGCCAGAGCAGCTCTTAAATTTAAATTCCAGAATTATCACAGAGATCAAGAAGAGAAACTTAGCTGCCC